GGGCATGAAATGCCAAGAACATGATCTAAATGGGTTTTTACTCATAAATTTCCCCCAAGGCTGAATAAAGTAGGAACCTTTAAATGCTAGGGACCTCCTAAGGTCCAGATCTGGAGTTCAAGCCTCCTCATGAACCCCAAATCCTCAAAGTCCCAAAATATAAAGAAAATAAGCCTTAATCTTCAAAATGAGAGATCTACTCAAACAAGAGAGAAAGGTTTATACTTGATACCTTTAACAGAAGCCCTTGGATGAATATTGACAGATCTAACAACCTTCTTTTGCTCCTTTCTTGAACCCTTCTCCTTTCCTTGCTAAGATACACCAAAATGCTCAAGGTTAGCTCTCTCTTTCTCTCTATAAGCTCAAGACCGTTTAGGGTCTCTCTCTCTCTCTCTCTCTGGGGAAAGTGGCCGCAAAGGGAGGCTATAAGTGCCTTTAAATAGGCCACCTGCCCGAGAAATTAGGGTTTCCTTCAGCAGTGCTGACTCGGCGAGTCACCTCACAGACTCGTCGAGTCCATTCATTAATCCACGTCACCAGCCGCGACTCTACTCGACGAGTTGAGGCACCAACTCGTCGACTTACTCCACAAATCTCAAATTAAATAATAAAATAATATACCTGGGAATCCGGATGTTACAAAATATAGGGGCAATAGGAGAAAAAGGATGCATATGAAATAACACAGAAACACGAAGTAAACAATGAAATTTTTACAGTTTTTTGCTATAAGAAAACATAAAAGGGCATAATTGTCCTTTTATATTAAAAAGGAATAATGGCAGTTTTTTCTAAGAAATAATGACAATTATTTGGTATAAGATAACATAAAATAGCATAATTGTCCTTTTATATTAAAAAAATGACAGTTTTTTTTGTACAACAGACAATACGTATTTGGTTTCGATACACAATACTGGTATAAGCATTAGGAAAAGTAGGATGCCATATTGTTCTATTAAGGGATAATGTCATAAAAACCCTCAAGTTTTCAAGGTTTTGTCGGTTTTGCCCAAAGTTGAATTTTATGTCCGTTTTTACCCTAACATTTTCCAAAAAATGTTCGGTTTTACCCTTTTACCGGTGATAGCAGGTTACCATTATATTAACTTCGAAAAAACCCTTAAGTTTACAGTTTTTTTTTACGTTTTTACCCTTCAGTTTATAATTTTTTTTACACTTTTACCCCATGTATTTTTTTTTCATATTATACGTATTCATGCAGAAAAATCATATTTATATACGAAAAAAATTTAATTAAATATTGTATTTATATTTTTTTAATATTATATATATATATATATATATATATATATATATATATATATATATATATATATGTGTGTGTGTGTGTGTATATGAGTTTTTTCCTGGATAAACCATTTAGGATGTAAAACAAACAAATTAATATGTTTTTAGAACTACAAATACGTATTTTTATGTATTTAAAAATATACATATCAATTAACAAAACTTGTTCAATCATAAACATGTTTATATAAGTATATACATATATTTTTAGAAGTGTAAATATGTATTTTGATATATGTTTTTTTTTAAGTATAAATATATTTTTAGAAATATAGATACATATTAATATATAAAAATGTAAAAATATGTATTTATACTTCTAAAAACTATATCTATAAAACACGTATTCATAATTCTAAAAATATTATTTATCTTTTAAATGGTATAACCTTGCAAAAACACAAACACACAAACAAACAAATACATATATATATATATATATATATATATATAACATTAAAAAAAATATAAATCCAATATTTAATTAGACATTTTTTCATATATAAATACGATTTTTCTGCATGAATACGTATATTATGAAAAAAAATACTTAGGGTAAAAGTGTAAAAAAACTATAAACTTAAGGGTAAAAATGCAAAAAAAGGGTAAACTTAAGGCTCTTTTTTTTTGCGAATTTAATATAATGGTAACCTGGAAAACCTGTTATCACCGGTAAAAGGGTAAAACCGAACATTTTTTCGAAAAATGTTAGGGTAAAAACGGACATAAAATTCAACTGTGGGCAAAACCGACAAAACCCTGAAAACTTGAGGGTTTTTATGACATTAACCCTTCTATTAAACATGTTATAAATTTATTATGATACACAGTTATATAGCTTATGATTTTTACTTTGAATGTCTAGACTCCTTAAGAAAGCTTTCATTTAGTCAAGTATATAGAAGAGTTTACCCGATTCCGATAATCTCATTTCTCAATTTTCCCTGACAAAAATACCTTTATACACCTGCCAGCGTGTTTTGGAAAACTTAGATTCAATTATGAAATATATAATTGAATTTTTAATTTTTTTTACCATTTCAAAAGTTTTTGTAAAGTTTAGATTCATAAACTATAAAATATAACATTGTACTTCCAGAAACAATCATTTTATAGGATGTGATGTAACATGTCATCCCATCTTTTAAAACATTTTTGAATCGATAGAGGAATTTTTGTGGACAGATGCTTGTATCTTGCTCCCCTAAAAAAATATAATATATTATAAACTTTATAAGTAGTTCAATTTAAAAATGTATGTGTAAAAAATCCATATAATTATATTTGTAAGATGCTTGTTCATCAACCATGATCAATTCAATGGACCAAATTTCATGATTGCAGTAGAAAGACATTTGCTTCCATAAGTTTATGACACGTACTTTGAGACTCAAATCATCCTTGAGTACGCCCAAATATGCTATTAAGGTGAAATTTGATGCATCTATTTCTCTGCAAAATTTTGAAATTATATAAGTTTGATTCCAATTAAATAGTTATTAGGCATTTTTAAGTAAAAATAGGATGAACAGAACACAACATAAAAAATGCAAAAATTATGATGGCAATAACACATACATAAAGGAACATAGGTAAACATTTAGGGTAATGGGAACAAAGGATATACATGAAATAACACAGAAACACGAAGTAAACAATGAAATTTTTACAGTTTTTTCTATAAGAAAACATAAAAGGGCATAATTATCCTTTTATATTAAAGAGAAAAAAATGATAGTTTCTTCTAAGAAATAATAATAGTTATTTGGTATAAGATAACATAAAAGAGCATAATTGTCCTTTTATATTAAAAAAAATAATAGGTTTTTTTTTTTGTATAGTAGACAATATGTATAAGAATCAGGAAATGTAGGATGTCATATTGTCATATTAAAAATGTTATAAGATTTTGTGATTATATAGCTTATGATTTTTACTTTGAATGTGTAGACTCCTTAGAAGCTTTCATTCAGTCAAGTATATAGAAGAGTTTACCCAATTCTGATCATCTTAGTTCTCAATTTTCCCTGACAAAAATACATTTATACCCCTGCCAGCGTGTTTTGGAAAACTTAGATTCAAATATGAAATATAACATTAATTTCACATTAACAATTATACAATAAAGATATTCAACATAGAAGACACATGAATAATTCCAGTTAAATGGTGAACAGAATCAATAACATTTAGAATATCATGTAATAACAAAGTTTACAGAGAATTAATCTATTAAATGTGGATGCCTATAAAATAACACACACAAAAGGAAATAGAAAGGAGAAGAATATAGAAATAATCAAAATAAGAATACATGATAAACATAAAAACTTCAACATACTTGTTCGGGGGATGATTTACCAGAATTGCAGCTTCTTTTTGGGTTTAGATATGAAGCAAATGAGAAAGACGACAATGCTTGGAAATTTTTATATGGGTTTTGTATTTATAAGTGAAATAAATCATTGGAAGATAACATTGTAATCGATTTAATTCCTATTATGATGCATATATATTTGGAAAAGATAAAGTAATTAAAAAACCATTGCTGATTTTATGTGATATGATTGATGTATGATAATTAAAATGAAGTTTAATGTAGGGAGAATATGGTAACTGAATGCTGATTAGTAGGAGATTGTGTAGATTCGTCAAAGCAGCAATGGGCGGGAAAATAATCTTAAGATGGTTGTGGAATGGACACGTGGAAAGGAGGAGGCTTATAAGAGGGACAAGTGGAGGTTTAGGAGTTTTTTATTAGAATTATATATATATATATATATATATATATATATATATATATATATATATATATATATATATATATATATATATAAAGAGAGAGACTTCTTTTATTTTATAATTACAAAAACATTAAAGAAATATAAAAGAATACCAAAAAAAAATAGATCGACAAAATGGTCATTTTAAGTTTTTTACGACTAAAAAAACCATAGGAAGTTATTTATTTTGATCCTAAGTCCAAAACTTTTTTAATTTTATCTACAGTTTTTATTTTTTATTTTTATTTTTTTTATTTTTTTTACTTTTTTTTATACAACAGTATCAATTTTGCAGTTTTGTCAAAGTTTAATAAAAATTTGATACGGCAACTTTATATAAATTCCAACCCACGATCCTAGTTCTCGTCTCATTCTTCCAGAGTCCCCATCCGTATATATCTCCTCGCAGGAACAATAAACAAAACCCTATGCCGCCGTGCCCTGCTCAGTCTCGGTGAATCGGTCTCTCTGCTTTTGGGTCTCGTCCAACAATAACTCTTTTGGTAAAGTTATTTATAAACAATTAATAGTCCTAATTTGTGGCTTGGTAGCAGTAATCATTAAGGATTTTTCAGTTATTAACTGTTAGTGGTAAAGTTTTTGTTATCAGTAATTTGTGTTAGTTTTGAATTTTATACAACACGAGTTTTTTAATAGGGTTACTGACATATTATGTTAGCAGCAATTTGTTACTAGCATTTTTTGTTAGAGCTTATTATTAATTAGGTTATATTTTGTTAGGGTTTAATAGATGTTAGTTAATTATTAACTAGTAATGCCGTTCCAAAAAAAAAAATAATAATAATAATTATTATTAACTATTAATGTTTGTAGTAATTTTGAATTGTTTTGGATCAGCCATATATGACAGGCTCCACGGCCTCCATCAAAATCCAGAAAAGAATGTCTCTACGCGAGCCATGCATGGAAGACTTGCCTGTAGCTGTCATGGTCGATATTCTCTCAAGACTTCCTGTGAAGACGATCATCCGTTGCAAATGTGTATGCAAGCAGTGGCAGAATATAGTAGTTTTTGACTCTTACTTTGCTGATCTTCAACTCTCGAGATCACCTGCATGCTTGATGATTTATTATAAACCTGGCCCACTGAAGTGGGTGGAGGTCGAAGAAGGACTCTATCACCACAATTTACAGCACCACCCTGTCATGAGCCTTGATATTAATATTGCACCTATGACACTCCTGGTTGGCTCAGTCAGAGGCTTGGTTTGCCTGTGGCAGGTTAATAAGAATGTTGATAACACTTACATATGCAATCCTATCACAAGAGAATATATGATCCTCCCTAGGCCACAATACTATAGAGAAGGGTGTACAAATATCGTTTATTGTTTTGGTGTCAGTTCACTTACACGAGAATACAAAGTGATACGAATCTTCCAAAGGGGTATAATAATGTCACCAGATTCCACCCCAACATATAGTCTATCCGAAGCTGAGGTTTACACTCTTGGCACGGGCCAATGGAGAAGTCTGGGTCATGTCCCATACTGGTTGAATGGACACTACGGGCCATTTCTAAACGGGCATGCTCATTGGATTATTCGTTACCAGGTTTTGCCTGAAAAGATTTGTGCTTTCGATTTCGATAAGGAGACATTTGAGTTGTTCCCATCACCTCCTTCTGAAGTTATAGATGCAAGGCAGAACTATTTCCAGAAGTTGGGTGTCCTAAAAGGTTGTTTATGTCTATGTGCTACCTACAATTCTAAATTGACGGTTTGGGTGATGAAGGAATATGGGATCAAGAAATCTTGGCATAAAGAGCTGGTGATCGAAAAAGGGATCAGCCGTGATCTTGATATGTTGATTTTGGGACACCCGCGTATGATGGAGTGTTTTAAAGATGGAACTATTTTGATGGCATCTTCTGGAAACAACCTATTGCTTTACTCACCTGGGAGTAAAACAGTTACAGACACAAAAACATTTGATGGCTGCTTCAAAGGATTGGCTTATCGTCCTGGATTTCATAGGCTACACAACTTCAAAAACGAGATAGTTAAAGTGTTTTGAAGATCTACACAAGTTCTATATATGATCAACATTTAGTTATCTCTGTATCAAACGATCCTTTGGAATCCAATATGTTAACTATTTCGTTTTAACTTTCATTTAGTAATTTCCTATATATTATGTGTTTTTTAAAGTGGTCTATTTTGTCTACAAGTCCTAACATGTACAATTAACAAAAACATTATTTCTTAGGACATCAAATGTAGGATTAATATAATTATTGATGCCAAATTGGTAATTAAAAATAAGAATGATGCCTTGGCTGCCTAGCATCATTTAAAATAGGTGGTGAGGTCATTCCTTTAACCAACCCTTTTTGGGCCTAAAACACCTTTTTGAGTGTCATTATAGGATGTTTGACCACCCTAACATTTATACTGATAGTGTGGTTACATATATACTTCCAAGCAAAGATTTCATTTTAAAAGATTAAAACACATGAAATACATACAACAACCACCATGAAACCCAAAATCAAGTTTTCTTTAGTTTAGCTGCCACCCACCACCAGCAACAAGCCCTTATTTTATTTGCTATAAAACCATGTGTTCTCTCAATACAATCCATGGAAAATTTACCAGCACATGTCACGATCTATATTCTTTCAATACTTCCAATCAAGACAATTATTCATTGCAAGTGTGAACACTAAAAATGGAGGAATCTTATTTCAGACTCCTACTTTGGAAATTTTCAACTTGAGATCATATACAAGCGACATGATTCATCATAGCACTGAGAAAGATATGAGTAGCTATTTGCTATAAATCAGACATTTTGACTTGGGTAGAGATCGAAGACAAACCCACGCATGATCGGACCCTGTCATAATTAAGCCTTCCGGTGGGCATTGTCAAAGGGTTGCCGGTAGCAGTGTGGTCAGAATTCACTACTTGGTAATTTGGGACCTCTGAAATCGAATCCAAACATGTACACCATCATGGGTATAGGGGAATATCGTGTGGCTTACCAAATAAAAGTCACATCGGGTTAAGCTCATTAAGTCATAAAGAAACACTACCCAATCTTTATCTGATTAAAATCTCTAAAATGTTATTATGTGCTTTGAATTCCCTATGGGGTCACATATGGCAGACCTAAAGAAAAAATTATCCAGTCCTCGTATCTTCTTGGGCCTTAAAATGAGCAAAGTTTATGTGACTTAACCAAAGAGTACTTGTAAAATTCAGTCCCACACATAAAGCACGCATACACCACAAAATATAGACATATCCACAACCACTATTAAACCAAAATCAGATATCTTTGTTCTACTGCCATCGCTCGCCGCCGTCATAATCTAGCCTCTTACTTCCAGAATATTATCCCTGTAGGCTTTGCCGCAAAACACTGGATACGTGACACTTACATGGCACACGTTCACTATAAGAAAACTGCTGAATAGCCGCAGAAAAAATTCGTAGCTACAGCCTGAAATTACGGAATTGTTACGGAAAATTTTCGTAGAAAAATCACTTGTAGATGTAGCTAATGATGTCATAGCAAAGTAACTACGAAAAAAATTTCGTAACAATTTGTAGCAAAATAACCACGGAATCTGTAGCAACCGCATAGCAAATTCACTACGGAAATATTCCATAACAGTTCCATACCAAATTAACTACCAAAACTTCCATACATTCTAGGGAAATCTCCGGAAAAATCTCAATATTTTACCCTTATTTACGAAAAAGTCTCAAACTAAAATCTGCTTACGAAAAAGTCTCAATTACCGGTAAAAATGACGATTTAATCCTATTTGCCCGGTTTACCGGTTTCATTACTTATCCGGTTTTAATAAAGTCTCATTATTTTACCATAATTTACGAATAAGTCCCAAATTATGGTAAAATAATGAGACTTTAATGAAACCGGGTAAGTACCGAAACCGATAAACCGGAAAAAAAAAAAGAGTCAAATCGTCATTTTTTCCGGTAATCGGGACTTTTCCATAAACCAATTTACTTTGAGATTTTTTCGTAAATTAGGGTGAAATATTAAGATTTTTTCGAAGATTTCCCTACATTCTATACAAACATGCATACAAAATTATCTACATATAAATACAGTAGCAAATTTTGAAAACAACCCAAAAATACGGTCCAAAAATTTCGTTTTTAAATATTATTAAAACCATGGTTATTCACAAAACATGTCATAACATCTCAAACATCATGTCAATATACATCAAATATCAAAGTGATATATCCCAGGCTAAACATAAATGGTATGTGTCATGCAGTCATCCCGAGCTCTTCCCCTTGCTACCAGAGGTACCTGAAACCACAACTGAAAACCATAAGCACGAAGCTTAGTGAGCTCCCCAAACTACCACATATCATACATATATCATGCAACTAGGAGATACGGGCTCCACCCACACTCAAGGAGATACGGGCGCCGCCCACACTCCGCTACTATGAGATACGGGCCTCGCCCACACTCAGCTACCATGAGATACGGGCCCCGCCCACACTCAGCTACTATGAGATACGGGCCCCGCCCACACTCAGCTACTATGAGATACGGGCCCCGCCCACACTCAGCTATCAACATACATACAAGTATCATACAGACAACAAGTATAATTAAATATATCAATCAGTCATATATCCATACTCAACAATACTATGAGATACGGGCCCCGCCCACAATCAGCTACTATGAGATACGGGCCCCGCCCACACTCGGCTACTAATCATACAAATATCATATACGGGTCGGCCTTGGTGCCGTAGACCCGTCCTACTAGAAGAAACTCGCATCGATATCGTGTGAATAGCTGAAGTGTCTACCCACACCCTATACATAACAATCTCTTAGATACCATTCCATACTCAAAAACCCTTCATGGGTCAATCTAAGTAAAAGTCAAAGTCAACGTCCAGTCAAAGTCATCCCTGAGTTGACTCAACTCGTCGAGTCACTCCCTGACTCGCCGAGCTTCCATGTTACTCACAGTCGTCATAAAAACGAGTCAACTCGTCGAGTCCTCCTACAGACTCGCCAAGTTCTGTGCTTCACAGAATCGGGACAAATTGAACCAAATCATCGAGTTCCTCATGAACTCGCCGAGTTCTTCTGTTTGATGCTACATCTTAATGGAGTAAGCCTCTATTCTTCAGATCTAAGCTCCATACCTCACATGTACACTGGAAATGCCCTTTTTGAGGGTAAAGTTTCCACCTTTAACCGCTAATACCCTCATAGAAAGGATTTAGCTCAAACCCTAATTCTTTAGGACCTAGATTTGGTCTCAGTTTCAGTTTCTCGAACGCTGCCTGCTGCTCAGGCCCCCAACGAAAGACTACGACCTTCTTCGTTAGCCGAGTCAAAGGTACGGTTATCTTGGAGAAATCCTGGATGAATCTCTGATAGTAGCCGGCTAATCCCAGGAAACTCCGAATCTCAGATGGAGACTTCGGAACCTCCCATCTCATCATGGCCTCCACCTTGGCCGGGTCGACCAGAATACCATTCTGGTTGACAAGGTGCCCAAGAAACTGCACCTCGCGCAACCAGAACTCACACTTGGAGAACTTGGCGTACAAGCTCTCCCTCCTCAGAGTGTCCAAAACCTCTCGCAGATGCTCCTCATGTTGCTCCTGCGTCTTGGAGTAGACCAAGATATCATCAATGAAAACTATCACGAACCGATACAGCATCGGCCTGCACATGCGGTTCATAAGATCCATGAACGCGGCAGGAGCATTGGTGAGCCCGAAAGGCATCACCACAAACTCATAGTGACCATATCGTGTCCGGAAAGCAGTCTTCTGCACATCCTCCTCTCTGACCCTCATCTGATGATAACCTGAACGCAAATCAATCTTGGAGAACCAAGATGCTCCTTGTGACTGGTCAAAGAGGTCATCAATCCTCGGGAGTGGGTAACGGTTCTTCACTGTTACCTTGTTCATCTCCCGGTAATCTATACGCATGCGATGCAACCCATCCTTCTTCTTGACAAACAGGATCGGGGCTCCCCAAGGCGAGCTACTCGGCCTGATGAATCCCTTGTCTAGCAGCTCGTGCATCTGCGTAGACAACTCCTGCATCTCGGGAGGAGCCAACCGATATGGTGCCTTGGCTATTGGAGCCACACCAGGGACTAGATCGATCCTGAACTCCACCTGTCGTCCCGGAGGTATCCCAGGAAGCTCCTCTGGGAACACATCTGTGTAGTCTCGCACCACCGGAACATCGCTCACCGTCGTCGTACCCACCTCCCGGGTATCCATAACATGGGCGACATACCCAACGCAACCCTGCTGTAGGTAGCGTCTCGCTCTCGCTGCTGAACATAAAGATGGTCCTCGTTGTGGCCTCTCGCTCTGGATCACCAGCTCTCCCCCACTCGGGGTCCTGATCCGCACCAACTGCTGTGCATAGTCGATCACTGCCCCATTGGGGCTTAGCCAATCCATACCAATAATAACCTTGTTTCCCCGCAAAGGTATGGGAACCAAGTCTACCAAGTAGCGCTCCTCGAATAACATCAGGACGCAATCTCTGAAAACTGTTGATGCTCGCACCGATCGGTCATCGGCAATCTCAACCTCTAAAGGGCAATCCAACATGCCCGAAGACTCAGGGAACTTCTTGCTAAGCGCAATAGAGACAAACGACCGGGTGGCGCCCGAATCAAATAATACCTGAACTGGGATATCGTTCACATGGAACGATCCTAAACAGAGCATACATACAACATATCAAAATCGCAGCAATCATAATAATAAGTAATAAGGAGGAGAAACCATACCCGTCACCACATCGGGTGCGGTACGTGCCTCCTCGACTGTCAGCTGAAATGCTCGGCTCCGCACCACTGGAGCCTCTGGTATGGCCTTTCGGCCATCCATCACCCTCGCAGTCGCCTGAGTTGGCGCCGCTGCCGGCGCCACCGCTGCTGCTATCAATCTGGGGCAGTTGGCCTTTTTATGGCCCCTCTTATTGCAATGAAAGCAAATCAGGTCTGATGTCTAAATCGTGGAAACAGG